AAGAACCCACAATATGCTATACACAAGAAACACATTTAAATAAAAAAGAAATTCACAGACAAAGTCAAAAGATGGAAAACAATATTCCATGTGATAGGAACCTGGAAAAAGCAAAAATAAAAATTCTATTTGCAGACAAAGTGGATTTCAAACTAAGACCAAGAGAGACAAAGGTCATGACATTCTTGTTAAGGGAATAATACAAGGCCGGCTCATTAGTGTAGGGGTATGATTCCCAGTCTGGGAATAATACACAAGGAAGAGATAACAATTATAAATATATATGCACCAAATAGCAGTGCACCCAATTATATAAAACAAATATTAGCAGACTTTTAAAAATCAAATAAGCACTAATACAATTTTAATGGGGGACCTCAATACCCCACTGTCACAAATAGATGGATCAACTAGATAAAAAGACAACAATGGAATATTAGAACCGAACCAAATTTTGAAATGGACTTAGTAGATGTGTACAGTGTTCCATCCCACATCAAAATACAAATTCTCAGCTGCACATGAGAAATTCTCCAAAATAGGCCACATACTAGCTCACAGAACATGCTTTAAGTAAATGCAAAGGAACTGAAATTTTCCCATGCATATCAGACCATAGCACAATGAAACTGGAAATCAATGGTAAAAGGAACCACAAAAACTTCATAAACACATGGTATTAAATAACAACCACCTGAACAACCAATGGCTCACAGAAGAAATTTGTTTCTACAATTAAACAATAATGTCAGTACAGCATACCAGAACTTATGGGATGCAATTAAAGCAATCCTATGAAGGAAATTTATAGGGTGAATTACCATATCAGAAAAATAATTAAGCTCAAATAAAAAACCTGATGTTGAATCTCAAGCTTCTAGAAAGACCAATGCTCACATGAGGGAGGAAAGTATAAAGTCAAAGCAAAAATTAATGCAATGGAGACTAAAAAAAAAAAATACAAAGAATCAATGAATCAAAGAGTTGGTTCTTTGAAAGATTAAATAAAATTGACAAACCTGCCAGGCATGGTGGTGCACACCTGTAATCCCAGCACTCGGGAGACTGAGGCAGGAATATTGCTGTGAGTTCGAGAACAGACTGGGCTATATAGTGAATTTCAGGTCAGTCTCAGCTACATAGTGAGACACCTGTCTCAAAAATGAAAAAAAAAAAAAAACTGACAAACCCTTAGCAAAGAAAAAGGAAAGACTCACAAAAAGGAAAAGACTCAAATCAAGGAAAGACTCAAATCTATGCAAGTAATAATGAAAAAGAGGGGGCCAGGGATGTAGCTCAGTGGTTCCACCACCTGCCTTGCAAGCACAAGGACCCAAGTTCAATCCCTGGTACCAAAAAAAAAAAAAAAGAATGAAAAGGGAACGGCCAGGGGTTGAGTTCAGTGCTTTTGCTGCCTGTCTCCCAACTCAGCTGCAAGGTCCCAAGTTCAATTCCAAGTACCAAAAAAAAAGAATGAAAAGGGTGAAATCTGGATTCTGCAGAATTCCAGAAGATTAAGACCCTGTTTTCTAATAAGGTGAAAAAGAAATGGACAGATTCCTACACAGGTATGAATTACCAAAGCTGGATGAAGAAGATATTACAATTCCAAATAAACCAGTATCAGTCAAGGAAATTGAAGATGTAACTAAAAACCTACCAACAAAGCCCAGGCTCTGACAAATTCACTGCTGAATTCTACAAGAAATTTAGAGACCTAATGTCACTACTTCTCAAATTCTTCAATGAAACTGAAAGGGAAGTAATAGTCCCAAATTCATTGATGGAAGCATTAATTTCCCTGACGCCAAAACAAAGAAGGATCCAACCAAAAAAGAGAACTACAAGCCAATCTCCCTAATGAGCACAGATGTAAATGTCCTCAACAAGATACTAGCAAACAGAATGCAGCAAATCACCAAGAATGTTATAGACCACAATCAGGTAGGATTCACCCCAGGAAAGCAGGGATGGTTCAACATACACAAATCAATAAATCTAATACCTTCTATCAACAGAACCAAGGACAAAAACCGTATGATCCTCTCAACAGATGCAGATAGTGTTTGACAAAGTCCAACACCCATACATAAACACTCTACTGAAAATTGGAATAGATGGTCTTTATCTCAATCTGAGAAAAGCCATCTAGAACAAACCAAGAGCCAAGATCATACTAGACAAAAACCAAAAGCTTTCACTCTAAAACCAGGAACAAGACAAAGATGTCCACTATCAGCACTCCTATTCAATACAGTTCTGGAAACATTAGCCAAAGCAATTAGGTAAGAGAAAAAAATAAAAATAAGACTAGGAAAGGAAGACATTAAGTTGTCATTATTTGTGGATGTCATGATATTCTACATAGAAGACCCCAAAAACTCCAAAAGACTTCCAGATTTCATAGCCAAATTGTCTCATAGCAGAATACAAAGTCAACACTTGAAAATCAAGAGCTTTCCTTTACATGAATAGCAAACTCAATGAGAAAGAAATTATATGCACACCCATGTTTATAGTGGCAGTTTGTAATAGCTAAATCTTGCAAACAGCCCACACGCCCATCAAATGATGAATGGATAAAGAAAATATGCTTTGTTTTGTTTTTTTTTCACAATGGAGTAGTACTCTGCCATAAAGATAAGCTTGAGACATTTCTAGCTAAACGGATGCACCTTGAAACCCTACTCTTAAGTGAAATAAATCAGACACATGTTTAAGTACTGCACTATTTCCCTGCATTGTTTGTCTATTGGAGATTGAGAAACTCAAAATGTAAATAAAGACCAAAATGTATAATAGACATTGGGAAATGGGAAGAAAATTTTCAAATGAGAAGGAGAACAAAGGAGGGAAGAGGGGGAAACAAGAAGGTACAAGAAGAAAAGAAAACAAGGAAAAAATGAAAACACTTTTGTAAATAAATAAAGAGGGGGAAGAAGGGTTGAAGGGAGGGACCGGGGAAAAAAAAGAAGCAAGATACTTCACATGCAGGTACAAATTCCCTATGATGAATGTTATCATAATGTATATGTAAAATGTACCAATAAATGTTCTTGCAAAAAAAAAAAAAACTTACTAAATTAACCACACAGAGCCAAACATATCAAAGGGGAAAAAAACTCATTTCTCTACTTGAAGCTCTTTGACCTCTGACAGTCATCTCCACTCCTATCCACCTGCCATTCTCAGGAAACCACTACTCTAATCCTCTGCTTCTTAGAATCTGTTTTAGAGTCCGCATATCAGGAAGAACATACACCATGTCTTCTGTATCTTCTCTTAATATAATGACCTTCAATTCCACCTACGGTGTCACAAATTGCAACTTTTTTCTTTTTTAAGGCTGAAAAGTATTAAACTGCATATGCATACCACCTTTTTTAGCCACTGTCTGCTTATGGACACCTAAGTTGATCCTACATTTTGGCTACTGAGAATAGTGCTGCAATGAAAATAGTGCAGACACATTTTCAACACACTAATTTCAATTCTTTTGGATAAATACAAGCAAAATTGCTGATCAGATGGTTATCATAATTTTAATTTTTTTAAGATCCTCTGTATAGGCCCGGGGATCTAGCTCAATTATCTGTACAATCTCCCTTGGTGGAGAATGAGAAACAGACAACAAGCCCATTTATTTGCCATTTTACCAATCTCAACGGTACATCAAACGCTAAATAAACTAATGACCAACATCTCAAATCTAAAACAAAATGGGGTTTTTTGATACTGTGGTCCCCTCGTGTTAAAGGAAAATGTAGCGGGCAGGGGATTCAGCTCAGTGGTTCCATCACCAGTACAAAAAAGAAAATTTAGAGAAGCCAGGCATGACGATGCACTCCTGTAATCCCAGCATTCTGGGAGGCTGAAGTAGAAAATCACAAGTTGGAGCCCAACCTGAGCAACTCAACAAAAGCCTGAAATGAAACAAAATAAAATGAGCTAGAAATGCAGTTGAGGGTGAGGGACCTGAGCTCAATAACTTGGGGGGGGGGGTTACGTACAGAAACGAAAAAATGCACCCTTCCTGTTTGATTCGGGTCAAATTTGGGAAAGAATCAGCAGCCTTTAACAAATTTAGCAAGACTATCTAATCTTTTCCCAACCTCCCAAAAAAAGCTTGGTAAGTGTTATATGGACAACGCTGCATAATCTCATATACCGGAGACTTAAACGGATAATTTTTTTAAAAGATACCATAACTTTTTATCTCAAATCGAAACGGAGTCAAATGTGACACAAGTTCTTAATCTCACATACACCTGGATTGACCCCCACACAAGGAAACTTCTCGGCCTCCTTGATACAGCACAGCCTACACTTGCACGCGAGGACGGCCGCCCGCGTGGGCCGGGATGTCCAGCTGCCAGGTGCTGTGCCTGGGGACTGCAGGTTTCCTTGCCCGGGTCACCAAACACGCACGGCAGAGGGTGAACAATGTTCCCGGCATGGGACAAAGACTACGAAGATCGCAGACGAGGAGAGCACAAAGCGGAGAGAAGTTTCGGGCCGGGAAGGGGAGAAGTACAGCAGGGAGGGAAAGCAGCAGACAGCAGTCCAACAGGCACGTCTCCTGAGTTCTCCCGCCCGTGGACCCGCACTAGCGGCGCTCGCTCTTCCTCCCACGTTCACCTCACTCAACCGGAGTGGCGCGGGCGGCAAGCACTACACTCACCGGGTCGCCGTGCAGCCCGGTCGCTTCTCTGCCGAAAGGCTGGCCCGAGACCGGATCTCCGGGAGTCAGGGCCAGTAAAGCCACACCACACTAGCCTGCCACCGATAAACCCCGAGGATGTGGAAGAAAAGCCGCGCGAAAGGCGAAGCGGCCCCGGATGTTGACATGCCACCTGCCCCGGAAGCGGAAGCGGGAGGTCATGACGGTGGTGGCTGTGGTGAGTATTTACTTGCCATCTGCCCCGGAAGGGATGGGGAGGCCGCGGAGGCCCCGGATGTTTACATGCCACCTGCTCCGGAAGCTGGGCTGGAGGCCAGGGGGTGGGGCAGCAGAGCCGGGCTCTCCGGAAGGAGACGTGGCGGCGGTTGGGTCCCCGGCTCCTAGGTCGCTTTGTAGTCCCGCCGCCGCCGCCTCCTTCTCCTCCTCCTCCTCTTCCTCCTCCTCCTCGTAGTCTCCTCTTTGGGCAGAGGAGGCTGTAGTAGCGGCTGGGGAAAGCGGCAGCGGAGGATGGAGGAAGGAGGCGGCGGCGTGAGGAGTCTGGTCCACGGGGTGCCCGTGTTCCTGGTCCTCTGCGGCCTCCTGGAGGCGTCTGGCGGCGGCCGCGCGCTTCCCCCGCTCAGCGATGATGTCCCTTTCCGAGTCAACTGGCCCGGTACCGAGTTCTCTCTGGTCAGTGCCCTCGCGCACCCTCAACCATCTCCCTCTTCGTAGCTTCCCACTTTGTCAGCCCCTGCTTCGGTTTTCTCCGCTCCCCCTTCCCGATCCTCTCCTGCGGGCGCTCACGTTTCCCACGGTGATATTTCCAGCTCTCGTTCATTCATACTTATGAGCGTTTATGTAGATATTCCTTCATACTATGCTTTAGAGATTAAGCCATCACTTGCTGACTTTTTAATCCTTTTGCGCTACTAGACCTCTCCTCCCGACGCTCCCACCCTAAAGAAGCCTTAGAATCCCGTCGGGCACTCTTATTCATCCTCTCTTCACTGCAGCTCTTCCTCCACCCGTGTTTCACACCACCCTTCTTTGCACAGCTGCTGCGGTCCCGAGTTCACATTCCTGTGCATCTTTTCCTGTCTTTCGTAGACAAACGAATGCATAGCCCAGTTGAATCTTTTCCCTTCATGGTTGTATTTCTATAGGGCTTGACCCACAGTGCAGAATATTCTGTAGAGTTTTGTATATTACGACTTATTAGGACCCCAGAATATGAAGGTGTTTTATGAATTTTCATACAGTAGAGAACGTAACTTTACGTGAATGAGAATTCTGTTTAGGAGGTGTAGGCTACTACACCTACATTTTATCCATGACCCATAAAGATAAAATTGGCCAATAAAAATATGGTCTTATAATACTAAACATATAGTTCATTTATTTACATTAAATCATATATTTCAAACTGAAGTCCTGGGAAAAGCAAAAGCATAAAAAAGTCCCGGTTACAGTGACTCAAGTTGAGAGAGTAATTGCTGTTACTGTTTCATTGAAACGTTAATGAGTGGTACCTCGAAGTCAAGATTCACCAAATCAAAGACTAGGAGGATAAAGCTCCATCTTAACATGGTTTCCCAAGGGGCGCAAGGCCAATGGTTTTTTTCTCCAGCAAACATTGAGCCGAGCCCCCCCATAAAAAAAATTTGCCAAGTTAATGTTATGATTATCACATAACTTATTTTTTGCAAATGTTAGTTTTTGTTTACACTGTTTTAGTACTTGGTTCGTTTCTTTGCCCCTTGTTCCATTCTGGTTCAATGAATTCTCATTTACTTAGGTAAATATTTCTCTAGAAAGTCAGTTTTATCTGTGTATTAATGGCGGGAAGTAATGACATCCAATTTCTTTTTTTATAAATTTTTGTTGTAAGTCAGATTTTAAGAGGCTCAGGTGAGATTACTTTACTTCTGCCTCAGTTTTTTCCAGGGAGCATCCTTGCACCTCTGTCTGATTTTTTAAAAGCATGCTTATATATGGCTCTGAAAATTTGTTGACCTCTAACTGGGCCACTAAATCTAGCCGCTATGGAGATTACTACCTAATTGTTATGAAGTTTTCTTTCTGGCACTAGTATTGCTGACTAAAAAGACCTTATGGGACTAGGGATGTAGCTCAGTGGTGCCGCACCTGCCTGGCAAGCACAGGGTCCTGAGTTCCATCCCCAGTGCCAGAAATAAAAAGGCATTATGGAAAAGGGTCCCAGTGTTAGTGTATGCTACATCAGTGTTCATATGATTTGCACACCCATCAATCTTGTTTTGAAATTTTTTTTTAATTTTCTTTGGTAATGCAACATAAGAGGAACACATTGGAAAATTTACGGAGAAAACAATTTCCCTTTTTTATTTTGAGAAAAACCTAAAGATGTTTTTCTGTGAATTTGCAAAAAGTATATGGCCTGTGTGCAAAAAATAAGCTGTAAAAGAGTCATTATCATTGTTCTTTTGAAATTTGTAAATAGCCTTGTAATCTTACAACTTCTCTTCGCTCCTTTACTTAATTGAAACATCTGCTCTCACGCAGCACTGCCATTGTTTTTTTATCGGCCAGTTGCTTGGATGTTTATATATAACTAAGCAGCTGTATGAACTAGGACAAGATCCCTTGTGTCTCTGTCAGTCTGAAACTGGAAGAGGTTGTACTGAAAGTTCTAAATTTTTTTCCTTAAACTTTTTTTTTTGGTGGGGGGACGGACAGGGTCTCACTATGTGCTACTTCAAGCTGGCCTTGAAATCACTATGTAGCTCGGGCTGCCTCAAACTCACAGTGATCCTTCTGCTTCAGCCTTCCAAGAACTGGGATTACAGGTGTGTGCCACCACCCCTGGCTTAAACTTCTTATGTGCTTTAAATTACCTTATGCAGATGTATCAAAACAATACATAACCTCTTACAGTCTTGCCTTCAGAATTATGGGCCCGGGATTTAGCTCAGTGGTTGTGGCACCTGATTCACAAGCGCAAGGACCCAAGTTTGCTTCCCGGTACCAAAAAAAAAAAAAAAAGAATTACATACAGTATTAAGCACCAAAAATGTAAAATTTTCAGTGTTTATATTAACTAGTGTATAGTTAAGACATTCCTTGGTAGTTTTTAGCAGTTATTTTCTTTTGTGCCTATATTTTTCTTCTGAAATTGTCATCTCTATATCATTATTTAATTATTCAGTATTCCACAGCGTTCATGAATTTCACCAAGTTGAACCGCAAAGCAAATCTGATTTTCTCTCTACTTCTGTTAATAATATAGAGTATATTCCTTTCCAGAGCACAACTCAATTGCTATACTTGGTAAGAATACAGAGCAACTCCATGGTTAGTTAACACCATACCTTATACACTGACAGGTTTTGCCACTGAATGTATTTTACTTCTCCCAGGGTGAATGTTCTACTTCTCCTGTGTCTTAGGCTGGCCTGGAAGTGGACAGGCATTTACAGCCTTTGTCCATGAGTGGTGGCCTAGTAGATGAGTCGGGGTTCAGCCTGGCTCTGGGATCAGGCAGAGGCCTGGGCTATTTGGGCCAACCTATCCTCTAATAGCCTTAATTGCTCCATAACTATTGTCAAACATTAGGAATTTCTCCCTTGCCAGGGTATTTTTTAAGTAACCTACTGTTTGGTTAGTTTTACTGTATTAAAATTAAGTGTTATACTTAATAGTACTCTGCTGAAAATGTTTTAATTTAAAAGCACAAAAAGTTAACTTTTCCTCAGTAACTTCTATTACTGAAAAATAGAGTAGCCAGGCATGGTGGACCCCTTAGCACTTGGGAGGCTGAAGCAGAAAGTTTGAGAGTTTGAGGCCAGCCTAAACTACACAGCAAGACTGTCTCAAAAAAAAAAATGGAGTAAAATTAGTTAAAATTACAACCTGTGATCCCATTAAGTGACTTACTGAACAATTTGGGGGCAGAATTGCTGTTTGGCCTATTTTAGTGCAGAGAAAGTAGCTCTTCACAAACTAGTGGAAGACTTTACATCAAGAATTGTCTTCTGGGGGCTGGGGATTTAGCTCAGTGGTTCCACCACCTGCCTCGAAAGAGCCAGGACCCAAGTTCCATCCCTGGTACCAAAAAAAAAAAAAAAAAAACCCACAAGAATTGTCTTCTGGCATGTGCAAGGTCCTGAGTTCGATCTGCACTACCAAAAAGAGAGAAAATTGTCTTCCTTTTCTTGCTGTGGTTCCAAACAAGCAGTTCCTTTTTCCATTGTTAGTATATGTTAAATATCTTGGTAAATAAGTCAGTATTTCCTGTGGAGTTCGACTGAACATCAGTGTTGCAGGTAATTCACAAATAGCCATGAAAACCTTAGTCTTTTGCTACTGTCTTCACTACAGTATAAAAATGATTTGCAGACTGTGGATGTAGCTCAGTGGCAGCACATCGGCCTTGCAAGTGCAAGTTCCTGAGTTCCATACTGGTACCAAAGAAAAAAAAATTATTTACCCAGCTGGGGGTGGAGGCACATGCCTGTAATCCCAGCACTCAGGCTGAGGCAAGACTGATCTACAAAGTACACAGCAACACCCTGTTTCAAAAAAAAAAATGATTTGCCACTTGTAGTAGCATACACCCAGCTATCAAGAGACTGAGGCAGAAGAAAGTCAAGACAGCCTGCACAGCTTAGCAAGATCTCACCTCAGAGTTAAAAAGTCCAGGGTTATTGCTCAGTGGAGTAGTGCTTGTCTAGCATTCTCCAAGCCCATGGATTCAATCACTAGTTCCGTTTTTTTTAAAAAAAAAAAAGTCATGCTTTGCACAAATCATTATCATATGTTTTATATATCTTGAGAAACACTGAAAGATATTATTACTGTAATGTCTTACAAAAGATTGTTGGCTCAACTGAATGGATGTTTCTAAGGATTCCTTTATCATAAATTTGACTTTGCAAGTATCGCAAATCTCTCTAATTCCCTCATCACTTATAATGGCTTTTTGTGTTTTGTTTTGTTGCAGTACTGGGCCTTGTGCTTTCTAGACAAACATTACCACTGAGCTACATCCCCTATAATGGTCTTTTTTTTTTTTTTTTTTTTTTCCTATTTCTTTTGGTACCAGGAATCAAACTCGGACCTAGCACTTCAAAGCAGGTGGCATATAATGGTATTTTAAATAAGGATGCTTGGCCAAAAATTAGAAATTTATGTAGAAATCTAAAGAAAATATTAATGAAAACTAATTGAAATATGTCAAAAATTTGACAGTATGAAGCCTGTCTGCTTAGGCTTACTTGGCTCTGCTACTTCTTTCTGTCTGTGTTACCTTGCAAAAATTATTTAAGCTCTGTCTAGACTTAGTGTCCCTTTTTTTTTTTGTTTCTTCAGTACTAGGGATCAAACTCAGGACCTTGTGCTTGCCAAGCAGGTAAGATGTCACTGATCTACATCCCCAGTCTCACTTTTCTATGAAAATGACTATAATGTTTGTTTTAAAGGTTCATGAGTCAATAAATATAAATCACTTAAAACAGGACTTAGGATTTAGCTCGGTGATGCCACTGCCTGTCTTGTAAGCACAAGGTCCTGAATTCAATCCCTGGTACCAAAAGGAAAAAAAAAAACTGAAAGCAGTCAGCCTTCCACATCCATGGATCTGCATCTATAGATTCAACTGACTCAGATAAAAATATTCAGGGAACTGAAAAAGTATGATCTTTTTTTTTTTTTTTAACATTCCCTAAACAAATCATCATAACAAGTATCTTACTGAACTTTTACATTGTATTGAGTATCGTAAGTTATCTAGCTTTGATTTTAATTCTAAAGGAGAGTCTGTATAAATCCTAAGTGTTTTATATAAGGAATTTGAGCATCTACAGATTTTGATACTCAGGGGTCTTGGAACCAGTCCCCCTGGATACCGATCAACTGCTATACTGTCACGGATAGAGCTCATACTCATTGCAGCCATGCGCGAGTGTGTGTGTGTGTGTGTGTGTGTGTGTGTGTCTTGGGAAAACATTGCCCTAATTTGCATTTGTGTTGAGGATTACATTGGTTCTTGGCCAGGGATTTAGTTCAGTGGTGCCACACCTGCCTCACAAGTGCAAGGTCCTGAGTTCAATCCCTGGTACCAAAAAAAAAAAAAAAAAAAATTACATTGGTTCCAAGTAGTACTGGAGATATACACACACACATATTTAGTGATTATTATTAAATTATTAAATTGAGAAAAGAACTGGAGATATAGATACACACACACATATTTAACGATTATTATTAAATAGAGAAAAGAACAGATTACTTAATAAAAAGTGAATCTTTCTTTGCTGGGGAAGGCCCAAGAGTACAGTGGTTTCACAGTACTTTAAGAAGATAAAGGTAAAGAGAATTGTGTCTCATAGAATGTCAGAAAGCAAAGATTTCAGCAGGGTGCCATGGGACATGCCTGTAATCCCAGCTACTCAGGAGGCTTAGGCAGAAGGGTTCCAAGTTTGAAGCCAACTCAGTTGTAAAAAAGGAATAGGAATGTACCTCAGAGGTAGATCATACGTGCACCACTTGGCTCTGGGTTTAATCTCAGAACCACTCCCCCAAAAAAGAAGTTTCATTGCCTCTTAACCAGTATTTCACTGCTTTTTATTCCCTATTTTAATATCAGCTTATTGTATTACTACTTTTTTCTTACTCCAAACTATTTTTTTTTATATTGTAGCACCAAGATAAAGGTTATTTTGTTGTATAAAAATGTGTAACTATTTTCCCTGGCTTTGAAAATATGTCTTAAAAATCTTCTGTTGAAATGATAAATGATAAATCTTTGTTCTAACTAGGACTAAATTTATTTAATGCAATTTAACTGAAGAAAGTAATTATATGTTTTGTTCTGTTTCTAGCCCACAACTGGAGTTTTGTATAAAGAAGATAACTATGTCATCATGACAACTACACACAAAGAAAAATATAAATGTATACTTCCACTTGTGACAAGTGGAGATGAGGTCAGTTTGGTTTTGTTTGTTTGTTTTGTACTGGGGATTAAACTCAGGAGCAAGGCAGGTGGCAGCACCACTGAGCTAAGTCCCTGGCCTTGAGGTCAGTATTTTATGAGAGTCTTGACAATCCTTTTCACCAAAATTAATTATTAAGAATACTAGAAACTTTATTAATGAAATTCTCACCCTGTTTTAGTGTAAAAATATTAATCATTTTTATTATTCCTAAATTCTTTGCCATTTTGGAAAAATTAGCAAAATTACTGTTTTAAATGAAAGTACTGACTTTCTTTTGCAGAAATAAGAGCTTAAGAGGGCAGGGGATTTGGCTCAGTGGTGCCACGCCAGCCTCACAAGCGCAAGGTCCTGAGTTTGATCCCCAGTTCCCATCCCAAAAGAAAGAAATGAGAGCTTAAGATCTGTTTAAGATGCATGTATGCCATTCTCATAAAGAGTTTCTTACACATAAGTTTATAAGTACTTTGCTTTCTCACTACCCTTAGCTCCTGCCCTTTTCTTTCTCCTGAAATGCCCTACTGCCTCTTACCCATCCTTCAAGATAGCAGCTTCTGTTGAGATAAAGCAGGAGGGGCAGACAGTCTGGTAAATGGAAAGGACAACAGCCTAGGAGCCAGGAGACTTAAGGGTAGCTGCAGTTAGCTCTAGGACCTTGAACAGATTTGAAACTCCATTCCTATACTTAGTAAATCTAGTTAGCCAATTATATAATTTTTTTATGACCTGTAAAACAGAAAATTAAACTCAGTCCTTAAATTTTGGTCCAATTTGGGAAGGGAATTTAGCTGAGTGGCACTTCGCCTACCTTGCAAGCTGAAGGTCCTGAGTTCAATTCCCCAGTACCAAAAAAACTTTTTTGTTCCAATTTGAAATCTAAGACAGCTGTTTCATTTTCTTTTAAATCTCCTAAAACACAAATATACACACAGAGAACCTTAAAAATACATTTGGCATTCAAGTCTGAAGTGTAACAAATGTGAAGGAAACTGAAAGTACCTTAAAACTTTGCAAGTTTCAACCATTCTGAGGCTTTCATAGCTAGAATTTGTTTGAATAGAAGCATTTAAAAATTCTGAAATAGGTTTGTAAAATTTGCTCAGAAGACTGATGCTTAGAAACCTTTTTTTCAAAAGAGAGGCTAGGTGTGGTGGCGCACAACTATAGTCCCAGCACTCAGGAGGCTGAGGCAAAAGGATGAACATGAATTCAAGGCCAGCTTGGGCTACATAATGAGTTCAGGCAGGGCCAGCCTGGAAAGCAAAGTGAGACCTTCTCTCAAAAAAAACAAAACAAAGAAGAATCAGGCATGGCAATACACACCTGTAATCCCAGCACTTGGGAGGCTGAGGCAAGAGGATCACTGTGAGTTCGAGGCCAGCCTGAAATACATAGCAAGACCCTGTCTCAAACTAAAACAAGAATGAAAAAGCATAAGTAAAAAGAAAGAATGAATACTGTAGAACGTTATTCTATAACTCCATATTTTATACTTTATTTGAAAGAAGTGGTATACTATAGGATTTTTACTTTTTTCCTTTGTTGTTTCGAAGTATTTGTGATTTAACCAGTGAGTTAATACTCAAACAGCAGAGTTGGGTGAAGTTATAGAAAAACTGTGTTTTAACTCCAGTTCTTTCTTAGGAAGAAGAAAAAGATTATAAAGGCCCTAATCCAAGAGAGCTTTTGGAACCGCTGTTTAAGCAAAGCAGTTGTTCTTACAGAGTATGTATTTTTTGTTCTTTGATAACTAGAAAATAAATTTCCAGCAGCTAGTAGACCCTTGAAATTACTTTATGCATTTCTTCTTACCTTATGCTATCATTTTTTAGGTGCAAATCTAAATTATTGTTTAGTAGTATTTTGTTTATTTAAATTCTTACATGGAATGTGCAATAGACATTCAAAAAATACTGATATCACAGTATCACTTTCAGCCAGCTGTGGTGGCTTGTAATCCCAGCACCCTGAAAGCTGAGGCAAGAAATTTTAAGTTAGGCCTGCCTGGTCCATACAGTGAGACCTTATCCTAAATAAAGAATCTTTAAATCATCAGTTACTAAACTACTGTGAATGCTTCAGCTCAAAAGAAAGTCATCCCCTTAGCTAGCACAATTTCCATTAAAATTATTATTTTATAATGGAGAATATCATTCTTAAGCCAGGTAGTTAATAGCTATCCTACTATATTCTGGGCCTTTTTTTTTTTTTCTTAACATAATTCTCATATAGCTAACTGATGAAAATATGAAAATAATGACCTCAGAAATTCACTTTTTTTTTTTATGCCGGGCATTGTGGCACATGCTTGTAGTCCCAGCACTTGGGAGTGTGAAGCAGGAGTTGAGGCCTGCAAGTTTGAGGCGAGCCTGAACTGCATAGCTAGACGCTGTCTCAAAAGAAATTTTTTGAGACCTAATTACGAGTGTCAGCTAATAAAAGGTACTGTAAATTTTGAAGAAAATCTGCTCAACTACTTAAAATACCAAAATAATTCATTTGAGTTCAATGATTCTTGTATACTTAAACACATTCATCTTTCTTAGATTGAGTCTTATTGGACTTATGAAGTATGTCATGGAAAACATATCCGGCAGTATCATGAAGAGAAGGAAACTGGTCAGGTATGGTTTTCTTCAAAATATAAAGTGGAAAACATAAAGTGAGAAGTTTCATAATGAAACTGATAATTTAAAGTTGTATCCTTAAAAATATATTTGCAAAATACTTACTGTATTTTTTCTTAATATAGAAAATAAATATTCATGAGTACTACCTTGGGAATATGTTGGCTAAGAACCTTCTATCTGAAAAAGGTTGGTCTTTACACCATGATTTGATAGTAATACTGGAATTTGGTTTAATATTTATGTTCAAATTGAAGTTTAAGAGATTTTGTTAGAAACTGAATTTTAAAACACTTAAATAATTTTATGAACTTTATAAAACTTTTTTGAAGAAGCCATTGTTTTCATTATTTTCTGCTCTGGCAAACATACTTTTTCTTATGCTCATAAATGAAAATTTTGTTTGACCTATATTTCTCAGACTGGTCAGTTAATTTAAATAAAGCTTTCTACTGGGATAAAAATATTTCCATATTTCCATGTAATAGAGTATTGTGTAGATAAATATGTAAGATTAAATGTGACCAAATTCTCATTAAAAAAAACCCATGCCAAGGAAACTAAAAGTAGTAGGATAGGGCTGGAGATGTAGCTCAGTGACAGAGCACTCCCCCAGCATGCACAAAGCCCTGGTTTGAACCACAGCGCCAACACCCCCCAAAAAAGAGAAAAATCATGTGTATGTTTGGATCTTTTGAAAGAAGTTTGGGTCACAAAGTTGGTTAAGGATTTAATCACTTGTGTCTTGTATGTGTCATTGCCCATGCTTTCCACTTAATTTCTCTTACATTCTTCCACAGAACGAGAAACAGAAGCAAAAGAAAAATCAAGTGAGGCAAGTTACAAATGCTCATTTTTGCTCTTAACATTTATTTTTAGTAATTTATACAATTTAATTGAAAAAATACAGCCTTGTATTCTATAATTATCCACTATCTCAAAGGATTAGGTGAAAAATTTACAGTGTATTTAGCTTTTCTGAGTTACATTGAGATCCTTCTATTTACTTTTCTTAAGTACATAACTAAATACCTGAATAAACAGATCTATCATATTATATGTGGGAAAGATTCTGTACTAGCATTATGTTCCTTTAGTACTTAGCAGTATTAGAAACAATTTTAATAAGACCTTTTACGTTTTTTTTTCCTCCTGTTCTCAATCTCCTGTGAATGAAACCGAAAAAACTATATTCATAAATAACAAGCAACCAGATTGCAAGCATCTTAAAAGCAGGAACTGTCTTTTATCTCTTCAATCCACATTGCAAAGGAAACTGCCAGACATTATTGTAGGCACTTCATAAATTGCGGGAGGGGGTGTGCTGGGATTGCACTCGGGACCTTGGGCTTATGAGGCATGTATGAGGGCTGGGCATACATGTTTACTAAATGAATGGATAAATGAAGCCTAAAATAATAGAATTATTTTAAAAGAATGATCCCTCAAAATAAGTGCCTATTCACAGTGTTTAAATACCCACATAGTTGGGCCAGGGATTTAGCTCAGTGGTGCTGCTGCCTGGCTTTCAAGCACAAGGTCCCAAGTTTGATCCCCCTACCAAAACACAAACAAAAAACCTTAAATACCTACATAGTTAGAGAGGAGTTTTTTTTGTTTTGTTTTTTTGAGGCAGGATCTCCCTTTGTAGTTCAGGCAGGTCCTGAACTCAATATGAAGCCCGGGCTGGCCTCAAACTCCAGGCAATCCTGCTGCCTCAGCCTCCTAAGTGCTGGGATTACAGTCATGCGCCATCTCACCTAGCTCCAGAAGAGCTTTTTTTTTTTTTTTTTCCTTCAAACCCAAGATTTTTTTTTTTTTTTTGAGATTCATACTGTGTACTTCAGGCTGGACTTGAGCTCACTGTGGAACCCAGACTAGCCTTGAACTTGCAACAATACTCCTGTCTCAGCCTCCAGAGTACTGGAATTATAGGCATGCACTACAATACAAGACTGATAGAGGCTGTTTGTATGAAGGGCTTAGTATCATAATGATACTTTTATTAGAAGTAAAATTAAATGGAAAAGGCCTTGAAATTTTTTTTTTTTTTTTCTTTTTTTGAGATAGGGTCTCACTATATAGCCCAGGCTGGTCTGGAACTCATAGCGATCCTCCTGCCTCAGCCTCCTGAGTGCTGGGATTACAGACGTGCACTACCACGCCCAGCTGAAAGTTTCTTAATAGAGATGCTTGTATCTTAACAAGGATATTTTGGGGGGAATTGATTTTAATATAGCCAGCATGCTTGTCTCTAGTCCCAGCACTAGGAGTCTGAGATAGGAGTGTTGCAAGTTAGAGCCTCATGTAGGCAATTTAGTGAGTCAGTGAAACCCTGTCTCGAGTTAAAAAATTTAAAAGGGGCTGGAGATGTAGCTCATTGCAAAGGTCCAGTCCCCAGTACTGGAAAAAAAAGATACCAACCTTTGAAATAAAATATTTATTTACTGTGACTCTGGAGGGTAGCAGATTGGAACTCAAAGTGTAAAATAATGAATGAAGAGAAAGAGAGGGATAAGGGCAGATGGCTAGCATTAATTGAGCCCCAACTTGTAAGCCAGACACTGCCAGGCATTTCACAAAAGCTGATGTATAACTCTCCCAAGAGTCTTTTAGTATCATTGTACTATTTATATATGGCAAACAAATTTAGTCAAGGTCATAAAGCTAGCAAATTCAAAGCTTTGAACTTAGGAGTCTTAATTTCAGATAATAGGGCAAAAATGGCATACAAGGAAACTGTAAGGTATTTTTCTCATGAAACATTTTCTTATTGCTTGTTTTGGTGTTGGCACCAGCAGGGTGCCAAAGTGATGAAAGATGAGATCCCTGCCTCCACAAGGCAAGGCTTGCTGGGACATGATAGTAATGGTGTCTTCTTAAAGCTCCTTACATTAGATCTGTTTATGCTTATGTAGAGAAAAGTATGGAAGCTAACTCCTTAATAATATTTGGCTTCTCAATTATATCCTTTACTCCCCTATTCCATGAAAACTTCTGAATTTGTCATTTGCTAGCCTTGAAAAGATTTGCACAGTTTATATGCTAAAATGTATGTGCTGTTGATAACGGAAAAAGAGTAAACAGCTATATGTACCAACAGTATATTCTATTTTATACAATATTGATTTACTGTCTAGCCCTACTCTTTTGTCAAATCAACAGTCTGTGTAGAATCTAAACTCTTAGTCATTCTCTATTCAAGTTGCAGCACCACTGAGCTAAATCCCCAGCCCAGCAAGTTCTTATATTTTATCTTAGTTTCTTTATTTAGAACTACTGAGAATAACTCGTATTAACTTGATCTTGGGTCTGGGCATATAGATTAGTGCAAGAGCACTTGCCTAGTATGTGCAAGGCCCTGGGTTCAATCCCTAGCACTGCAAAAACAAAAATACTTGATTTTGTAGCTCTTTATATAAATGTATTTTGATTTAATGTCTTAATTTTAGAGTCATGTGCTCAAACAAGAACTTATGAATCAACATTGATTAGAGGGTGAATTTGAAATACAATAATGTTACCTTTCTGTTTAATAAATAAAATGTAGTTTTCTAACATCTTTCAGAATAATTGCTCCCATTCTCATCACCTCCTCAATTTCTAATGAAAAGTCTGTCTTATACTCTCTTTTTAAAGATTCCCACTAAAAATATTGAAGGTCAGATGACACCCTACTATCCTGTGGGAATGGGAAATGGTACACCTTGTAGTTTGAAACAGAACCGGCCCAGATCGAGTACTGTGATGTACATCTGTCATCCTGAATCTAAGCATGAAATTCTTTCAGTAGCTGAAGTTACAACTTGTGAATATGAAGTTGTCATTTTGACACCACTCTTGTGTAATCATCCCAAATATAGGTAGGATGTGCATTTAATATTTTAAACATACAATTCACACAGGCTTTACAGTATTCTTTGCTTAGCTTTAATTCTTTCTTGTTACTGAATAGGTTCAGAGCATCTCCTGTGAATGACATATTTTGCCAATCGCTGCCAGGATCTCCATTTAAACCCCTCACTCTGAGACAGTTGGAGCAGCAAGAGGAAATACTAAGGGTACCTTTTAGAAGACATAAAGAGGTATGAGAATTATCTAATGATAGTTTCTCAGTGCTTCATTTTCTTTTTTTGGTACCAGGGATCGAACTCGTGTCCTTGCACTTAGAAGGCAGGCTGCAGAAACGCTGAATCCCTGACTTCATTTTCTAACTTTTAGAAAAATATCCTAATAGTTTCTATAGTATAGTAGTAGCAGTTTATTTCCATTGGCTCAGAATTTTAAATCCCAGTTCTTTTCATTGAATTAAATTCTTTCCCTATTCTTTTACTTCTCAGAAACATTTTAATGTTAACATTCTCTTATAATAATAATTTCATAATATTTTAAAGTTTGACATCCTGTGCATTGTAGTTAGTTTTTTAGGTAGTTGCCACAGCTGAACCACTTGAAAAAAATAGACTGCAACTCTATGTTCTCCTCACATTTTATTCTTCAGGTCATTGCTGTCCTCTGACAACTTCTGAATACTGCTTCCCCCTTTTCCTATCCTTTTCATTTGTCTGTTGGACATAGCCATATACAAACCACACACACTTTTAGTCTTCTCGCACGATTTTTTTTTCTTTTATGTTGCCTCTTATCTTCTCCAAGACTTGCTCTTTTTTTGAGACAGTCTCACTATGTAGTTCAAACTGACTTTGAGCTCATGAACTCATTACGTAGCCCAGGCTGACCAGTCATCCTGCCTAAATTCCCGAGTTGCTGGGATTACACATGTGTGTCACCACACCCACCTTCCAAAGCTTTTAAAGCACTGTGCTCTACCTAATTTGAGTCATTTTTCTCACCTGTCTCTTGATTTAGCCATCAGTGTTATCTTCTAAACGTTTTTCAAATCTATCTCAAATAATGACATCTAGTGGCTCAAGATCTCAGTATTTCCCTAGATCAAAAACTGGTCTCTTTACAAGTCTGCTTTTTAATCTTTCTCACTTGGAAATATGCACTTTCTAAAATGAACATTTGAAGCTGATATTTCTGGCATTTTGCTAATGCTTGGCATGCTGTGGATACTTAACTAATACTTACAGTAAGATCTGTGTCTTCTCTTCTTCCCAAATACTTTTTACAAAAGTACTTCTGGATTCCTTGTGAGTGCTGTGACAACACTGTTCATCTGTTGAGGAAAAGTACACTTACATTATTCCACAGTTCTATTTGGAGTACTGTACCAAAAGATTCAAGCAGAAATTCTCTGATCGATTATGATCTAAGTACTGACGGGTACTGAAGAGTTGGCTGAAAAGGCTTCACAAATTTCAACTTTTGTTAGTCTTCATGGGAAAATTACCCACTTTCTTTTCTTTAAGTAAATGTATTTATCTGTCAGGTGAAAAAAATGAATTTTTCTAAAGCTGTAAATGATAGTGCCTTCAAAATATTCAGAATCTTTAGAACACACGAAAATTTTATGTGATAACTTCAAATGAATGGTCCCTTAAAACTGGGCAGAGCTGTCTGAGGTGGTACACACCTGTAATCCCAGCTACTCAGATCACAAGTTAGAGATCAGCCTAGCCAATTTAATGAGAACGTGTCTCAAAATTCAGCAAAGGACTAGGAATGAACCCCAGTGGTAGAGTACTTGTCTAGCATACTCAAAGCCGTTGGGTTCAAACTCTGATACCACCCCCCAAAAAAAAAAAAAAAAAAAAAAACCGAA